GACAGTCCCCAAACATTACAACAGATCTGTTTCCTGGGATCACAAAGTGAGAACAGGAGGCCAGAGTGTTTCCCCATATCCTACTGCCCTTGCAAAAAACAATAAAAATTAGTTTGGTTTTCATTAAGGAAAAAATAGTCATTCCCAGAAGGAGCAAAAATCCTTTGTGATATCATCATTTCGTTATAATCCTAGATGCTGAAAGAACACTTAAGCTTTTTTTCCCCTTTAATTTAGTCACTTCAAAAAGAAAAAGTAAACTTGAGGGGCACCTGGACGGCTCATTTGGTTAAGTGTCTGAACCTTGATTTCGGCTCAGGTCATGATCTCACGGTTTGTGGGTTCTCACTAGCAGTGCAGACCCTGCTTGCGATTCTCTCTCTTTCCACCCCTTCCCTGTTCATGGTTGCTCTTTCTCTCTAAATAAATAAATAAATAAATAAATAAATAAATAAACTTAAAAAGAAACGTAAACTCTATACCCAATGTGGGGCTTGCATTCAGGACCCCAGGATCAAGAGTGTATGCTCTATAGGGATGCCTGGGTGGCTCAGTCCGTTAAGTGTCTGACTTCGGCTCAGGTCATGATCTCACAGCTCATGAGTTCAAGCTCCGTGTTGAGCTCTGTGCTAACAGCTCAGATCCTAGAGCCCGCTTCTGATTCTGTGTCTCTGTCTCTCTCTCTACCCCTCCCTTGCTCTTGTTCTCTCTCTCTCTCAAGGATAAATAAACATAAAAAAAAAAGAGTGTATGCTGTACTGATTGAACTAGCCAGGTGCTCCCACTTAAGCTTTTTATTCCTCTACTCCCCTCCTTATTCTGGAGGCTAGCATTGATCCCTTCATGCATCCTTTTGGCACTGTCCTGGGTAATGGTATAACCAGCAGAAGCCTCCAGCAATCTCCAGGGGAGTGCTGTGGGATAATACTTTCTTCTGTGAATTGGGGTCAAGGAGCAGATCTTGGTCTCCCTCACAGGAACTAAAGAACTTAAGGATTTGGGTCTGATGTCCTCTCAGCTGAACCAGTTCAGGCCAGTGCCCCAGTGGGTACATGTTTGAAGAGCTATGGGTGGGTGGGAATGCCCAGGATAGGGGAATGTTTGTAGGGTTCTGAGGAAGTCTGGAGCATCCTGGGAACAGAATGAGCTGGCCCAGGCCATGAGCCATCTCCAAACCCCTCCCACTTCTCCTGTCACTAACCAGTTCCAGCTGTGCACGATCTAGCCCATTGCTTCCCATCTGGCTTCTAGGAACTCATGACTAATTAAAGGAGTGTGTGTGTGGGGGGTGGGGTGGGGAGGTCCGCTTAAAAACAGAGGTTTCCAGGGTAACAGCTTGGAAACCTCAATCCCATTCAGCCAGGGAAAGTTCCTTCTCTCCTGATTCCCTCTGGGCTCAGGGGAAACAGGCCAGAGGCTAACACCACATTTCTCTAAATCAAGAGCAGTATCTGTGCCTGTGAGTTATATCTTATGTTTTTCTCACCTCCAGTTTCCAGTTTCAGTTCCCAGACTTACCCTTATACCAGGATGTCCAGCCCTAGGAGCCACCCCATTCGGGTAAGGGTAGCTGTCGGAGAGGGTGGGTGGTGGTTTACACATTGGCTTCTCTTGGATTTAGAGACTTCTGCAAACTTTTGCCCCATGGCCCCTGATCACTAGAAAATAGTCTCAGAATCTAACCTACTTCCTCCTGCTACCGTTTCAAATATTTTAATTAATAATATTTCTATACAAACTCTTCTATCACAATTTGTGGGCAGAGAGGGAAACTAGTTTGCAGGAAGGGAGCAAGCAAGCCAAAGAACTTGGGAGTTCTTTCTCTCATACTCCTGTTCTCTTTTGGGGGCAGGCAGACCACATGTCCTAACCCTTTGCACACATCCCCATATCTCCCCCAGTGAGAGATGACAAATTCAGAGGCAAAAAGAGCTGGCCAGCCTGGCTCAGGGGGTGGGGGCTGGCGGAAGGGGTGGTCACCATGCCATTATGGGAAGAGTTAGTCATGCAATCCTTGACCAGATGCCCCGCCTGCAGCTCCTGGCTCTGTGGGGGGGTTTTGTTTGGGTGCGTGTGGAAACTCTTGGGAAGCTGCACACATCATCATAGCTTGAGCCCGGGCCTCTGCTGCTTCCTGGCTGTGTGACCCGAAGTAACCTACTAGACACTCGGTTTCCTTTTCTGTAAGAAGGTGATAATACCAGCCTGGTTGTTGAGATTTAAACGAGGTAAATTATTTGGCAGCTTTTACTAGTTTACTCTATTCTCTCCTGGCTCCTTAGCATCTAGAATGTGGTTTCATTCCCCCGGGGCCTTCCAAGGCAGGCCAGAGTGAGCACCTACCTTTCATAATAATAATCATCTCACTAACATGCTGTCATGCAGTCTTAAGCGTCTGCCCTGTTCTGTTTGTTTTTGTCTTTGTTTTCGTTTTTGTTTTTTACTTATGTGAGAGAGGAGAGAGTAGTCTGCTATCACATTCATCTCCTTTCTTTCATATCCTCCTGCCTGTGTCCTCCTCTCTCCCCACCACCCTCAGCTCCTGTTCCTCCTCCATTATTTTTACTATTTCTTACCACTTTTTCTTCCATCCCAGCCCCAGTCTCCAGGGGCGGAGTCTGGGCAGGCGGAGCTAGAGCTGAACCACGGAGTTTCAAGTAAATGAGTCAAAATGTTGCTAGTGACTCTCTTCTGGGTAGAAGCGTAGAATTTAGTGGTGGTTTTCGTGTTCTTCCTTGCTTATTTTGGTATTTTCCAAATTTACGACGACGAGCAAAGGATAGCTTTTATTCAGAAAAAAGAGCAAAAACTTTAATCAGAAAGAAATTATAATATTTAATTGGACCATGTCCTGTTCTCAAAAAAAGAGGGAGTGAGGGGTGGAGGGTGGAAAGCAGGAGAGAAGGGCAAGGTTGAGAAAGAACCCTGCGGGGGGCTGAATGGGAGCTGGTTCCTAAACTGTCATTTCCTGGGGACATCAGCCTTGGTGATGGCTTTAGTCATGGCCTTTGTCACTCATCAGTCAGAAGCTCTCTGTTCTTCCTGGCCTGTCACTGGCCATTTGGGACTTAGTCAGCTGATTGTTACCCAGTTGAGGGTTGGATGGGTCAGGGGGATCAGCGTCATCAAAGGAAACAATATGACTCAGGCGTCTCCCCCACCTCAACCCTGGAGTGTGAAGTGTACCCCTGTAGCCTGCCAGCCTTATAGCCTAGGGTGTGGGGAAGGGCTCAGAATTGGGATCCTACTGAGAACATGAGTTCAGTAACACTTTCTCCCAGTCTTACCCCTACTTCCCTGCACAACATTGTATGATGCATAAGTAATAGTGGAGCCCCTAAAGTTTCCCCTAAACATTTAAAGAGCAAAACTCTGAAAGTCATTAGTGTGGTGCATGGAAAGAGTATGGGTTATGGAGTCAGCAGAGGGATCTGAATATAGCCTAGATCAACTGGGAGCTCCGTGTCCTTAGTCAAGTTCCCTCTCTGGGTCTCCATTTTCTCTTACAAAAAATGTCCAAAAAAAAAAAAGGCCAGAATAATTCCTCTGTCCTAGGAGGGTTGTGAGAATTAAATGAGATAATAGTTAAATCACCCAACACAAAGTAAGTGTTTTAAAATGTAAGTTTTTCAGGACCTGGGTGGCTCAGTCAGTTAAACATCCATCTTTGGCTCAGGTCATGATCTCACGGTTTGTGGGTTTGATCCCCATGTTGGGCTTTGCCCTGATAGAGCCTGCTTTGGATTCTCTGTCTCCTTCTCTCTCTGCCCCCTGGCCCTTCTCACACAAGCGTGTGTTCTCTGTCTCTCAAAAATAAAAAATAAAAAATAAACTTTTTTTTTTCATAAACAAAATGTAAGTTTTTCACTTCTTCCTTAAATAGCACTCAAGACCCCCTCTAAACTCTGGCTCCCAACCACTCTCCCACCCCAGTTATTTGACAAAGATTCATTAAGCACCACCTGAAGCATTGAGCTGGACTGAAGTAGGTACTAGGGAGTCAGTGGTGAATGAAGCAATCCAGACCCTGGAAAACCACTCAGTGAGCACAGTGGCTTTTCTCAGCTCTGCACTTTCACTCAAGGCCTGCACTGTCCGTGTCCCTCGGTACTGTTTTACTCCATCCAATTCTTAGCCAGGCTTCAAAGCCTGGTTTCTTGGCGAGCCTCCCCACAGCCCCATGATCCTTAGGATGGGGCATCTCCTGCCTGGCATCCTGGTTCCCCTCATTTCGGGTACTTGGGTCAGCCTTGCCACAAGCTTCCACAAGCTTCCTGTGGGCAAGCTCTGGCCTTTTACTTCTTTGTACCCTTGTTAACCCCCACCCCCACCCTGACATTATGGGCTCATGAAATGCTTGAAATAATGACTTTTTATTAAAGCAGACACAAGTAGGCTTCAAGAACATTTAAATTCCTAATTTGGTCTTGAGTACAAAGAAACTGAGACCTCATCTCTGATTCCTTCACCTGAAACCTAAGCACCTAAGCTGCTTCCTACCTCTTCACTTTTATTTTATTTTTTTCCTATCCTAGAGCAGACAGGGACCTATGAATGTTGAAGATGAGGGGTTTGCTGCCCAGGGTTCCTGGGGCACAGGAATGTCCAACTCCAGGGGATAGCCGTGGTCCCCATCCCTAGCTCTGCAGAGACTCTGCTTCTCATCCTGCCAGGATGCCCACCCCTGGGGCAGGGCAGTATGAAAAGTCTTCCCATCTCCAGCAGAGGACCCTGTGGGAATGGGCTGGGGGCCCTTCTTGATGGAAGCTCTGTGGCAGGGCAGGGGTTAATGGAGAATTGCAACATACCTCTGGGCTTAGTCACCTCCCACTGCCACTCCCCCCAATTCCCCTCCCCTTAAGTTTTGTAAAGAGGGCCAGAGACTGGAGAGTGGAGAGAACTGGAGGCAAGAGCCCCCCACCAAGCCCTACTCCCCAGGCTCCCAGAAATCTCAGGGCAGAGGACAAGGACAGCCTCTGGAGTTCCTGCCTAGTGGGACCATGAACTGGCAGTGGCTATGGCTGGGCTTCCTACTCCTTATGACAGTCTCAGGCCAGACCCTGGGGCCTTCAGGGAAGGAGGCAGCAGTGGTGAGTTCTCCACACCCCTCCCGGGGAAAGAGGGACCAAGGCCTAGGAAGGGATCGGGGTACTGCGCTACAGTCCCATCCAGGCCTCCATCCTGAACTTCAACGTGCCTCTCCCTTCCTTCCTCTACTTTATGATCTATTCTGGCCCATCTCCCACTCCTTGCCTTTGTTCTACCTGAGCCCCTTCCCGAAGGTGCCTCTCTCCTTTAATCCTTCCATGTCTGTCCTCCCCTATCCTTATGGATCTGCTAGATCACTGAGAAGATTTACCCTAAGACTAACTCCCTTTTTATTCTGCTTACCCTGACCCCCATCATAGGATTACCTGTTGCAGTATGGATACCTACAGAAGCCTCTCGAAGGACCTGATGACTTCAAGCCAGAAGATATCATGGAGGCTCTGAGGTGAGAGGTCATAAGGCACATGCTGTAAAGGTTGAGGTTGCAAGGTCATCTTTTCTTCTTCTCATCTCTTCCTCTCCCCAGGCCCACTTCTGCCTGACCCAAATCCATGTCAGGGATCTAGGGAATAGGACACGCCACAGTTTGGGTGGTGGGGTGTGGAGTGAGATGGGGATCAAAGATGAGGAGCAGTCATTGGGTCTTCCTAAGCCCTAAGCATCGCTTTGGGGGCTCCATTCCACATCATATCCAATATACTATTAGTGACATCCCACATGAAGTATGATTTGTATGTAAAGCTATGAGTTCGGTTGAATTGGAATTGAGTTGTTGACATGATGTTGCTTTTTGTAGACTTTTAAGTCAGCATTTACTTATATTTTGAAGTTTTCTTTTTATATTTTGGATCTAACGGATAGTTTTTCTTTCTGCTTTCGGTTATGTTTACAGTCCCTTCAAAAACCATGATGCCTGACATGCCTATGGGATGAAATTGCCCCAGAGCAGGCTGGGCTGGGGGGCAGGGGGTGGGGATGTCTAGCCAGGAGGAGAAGGCTGAGGGAGGACAGGCCCTCAGGTGGGATCAGAGGTGGGAGAGTCTCCAGAGCAGGGGGACGGGACACTTCCTCAGGAGAAGGTTAGAAATTGTAGGGGAAGAGGGCTACACCTGAGGGAAACCTAACAAATAAGAGGTGGAAGATGGGGAGATGAAGCTGGAGTATCGCTATTTCTGCAGAACTGGAGAGAAAGTCCTAGTTATGAGGACTGGATACTGGAGTGACCCCATCAGCTTCAGAGATTCTGTGCCATTCTCTGCTACCACTTTGGGCAGCAGGTGGCCAGAGAGCTTTCCTCAGTTTCCAGTCATTCCAGATTCCCCTGCTCTGCTGGGCCCATCATTCTTCCTCTTCTCAGAGCTTTTCAGGAAGCATCTGAGCTGCCAGTGTCAGGTCAGCTGGATGATGCCACAAGGGCCCGCATGAGGCAGCCCCGTTGTGGCCTGGAGGACCCCTTCAACCAGAAGACCCTTAAATACCTTCTGCTGGGTGAGGACTGAGACTGGGAAAGGGAGGGAAAGGAGGGGGTGGCATGGCTCTGGAGAACAGGTGACATTGGGACAGCCTGGTCCAGCTCAGTGTTGAATGGATGATCACCTGGTGATTACCTGATCATCACCTGCCTGGAGACATAGCTTTGCTGAATGAATGCCCAGACTCAGGGGATCTTTCTGGGGCTTGCAGGGGATCTGTGTTTCTAACCTATTTTCTGGTCTAATAACCAGGCCGCTGGAGAAAGAAGCACCTGACCTTCCGCATCTTGAACCTGCCTTCCACCCTCCCACCCCACACAGCCCGGGCAGCCCTGCTTCAAGCTTTCCGGTACTGGAGCAATGTGGCTCCCCTGACCTTCCGGGAGGTGCAGGCTGGCTGGGCTGACATCCGCCTCTCCTTCCATGGCCGCCAGAGCCCGTACTGCTCCAATTCCTTTGATGGGCCTGGTAGGTACCAGCTCTTGGCTCCCACATCACAGACCTCGAGATTATCTCTGTCCCCTTGAGCTTAGTGACTCTGGAACCTTAATGTTCAGTCTGCCGCCTATGTCCAACTGCACCCTACACTCTCTAACTACCTTCTAATATTCCTTTGGGGAGCAGTTGGTCACCTCCCTGGGGCCTTATCAAGCCTCCTCTTTGAAGGTTATGTCTTATTCCTTGGTCTAAATTCCCCTTCTCAAGGCACATCTCAGAGAGGATTGGGCCGGAGAGAAGAGAGTGGTTGGGAGGTACAGAAACAGAGTGATGGGCATCCCAGAGAGAAGTGGGTGATGATGGGGGATCTGAAAGGTGAGAGAGAGGCATGCAGGAGACTGAAAGTAGATGGAATTTTAAGGGAATGGAGAAATTGGGGTTTGTAACAGGCAGGGGATGCTCTAGCCTAGGAGACTCTGACCTCATTCCTGTTCACCCTTGCCTTTGTCCAGGGAGGGTCCTGGCCCATGCTGACATCCCAGAGCTGGGCAGTGTGCACTTTGATGAAGATGAACTCTGGACGGAGCGGACTTACCGGGGAGTGAACCTGCGCATCATTGCAGCCCACGAACTGGGCCATGCCCTGGGGCTTGGGCACTCCCGATATACACAGGCCCTCATGGCCCCTGTCTATGCTGGTTATCGGCCCCACTTCAAGCTGCACCCGGATGATGTGGCTGGGATTCAGGCTCTATATGGTTAGTCTTTTCCCCCGTTGATCATGAGGGTCAGTGTGACCAGCATCTCTTCAGGCTTATAGAGACAGGTCTAACCTCCATGGCAGGAACTGACTTGTCTTCTTCTCTTCCTCCTACCCAGTTATTCAGGCATCTTCATTTTCAGCAGCTGTTTTTCTGACACTTCCATGTCTGATCTTCCTTCCAGGCCTCTCTCCCCTCTTGCCCTTTCTTGGGGAAGAAGAATGAATATTCCAGCAAACTTCCTTCTCCCTTTCTGGTGCCTGTCAACACTATCAATTGATATCGATATGATCTTGCTTCCCATCAAGAGAAATGCTCTAGGATTCCCTTTTCCCCTTTATACAGGGCCTCTGAGCCAAACTTACAGAAGAGTGGCGGGAGGTCAGTTGCTATGAGTTCTCTCCTTGAACAGCATCATGCTACCTTGCAGGGAAGAAGAGCCCAGAGACAGAGGATGAGGAAGAAGAGATGGAGCTCCCCACTGTACCACACGTGCCTACAGAACCCAGTCCCATGCCAGACCCCTGCAGTGGTGAACTGGATGCCGTGATGCTGGGTGAGGCCCTTCCCTTTCAGGCTATAGGTGGGCAGTGGCAGCAGCCCACTCACTTGAGACTTGGACAAATGGGAATGACATGGAACCTCAGCATGAGCAACAGTGGTTAGATACCCAGCAGAGGTTAGTGGCCATGGAAGGAGGCATGTGGCATGGGGAGGGAGGCTTCAGAGCCAAATTAAAGGTGGGTTAGGCAGGCATTTACCTCGGTTGCCTCCCTATAAGGGTCACTAAAACACATCTGCTAATCTAGCAAGATGGAGAAAACTATATTTACTGGAATGTCTATTAGAGAGCGTGTTATACATGCAGGGAAGGACAACTTGGAAGCTATTGGAATGGAAGGTGAGGTCCCCAAAGGGGAGCAGCTATCTGCAGGGCTTTTGTTTTATTGTTCAGAGCTAAACTGCTCTGAACAGCAAAGAGGCTGAACACGGAGTCTTCCTTCTCTACCTTTAATCTTCTCTTTGAATTAATGTTGAGTGAATTTCTGAGGGACCAGCCTGTGGGATGAAGGCAGATAATCAGCTTGTCTGAGGTATCCACAAGTCTTTATTTGACCCATCTCTTTTTGACTTGACACACTTTTGCTCTCAGGGCCCCGCGGGAAGACTTATGCCTTCAAGGGGAACTACGTGTGGACTGTGACAGATTCAGGGCTGGGTCCCTTGTTCCAAGTGTCTGCCCTTTGGGAGGGGCTCCCAGGAAACCTAGATGCTGCTGTCTACTCTCCTCGAACACAGTGGATTCACTTCTTTAAGGGTAAAGGGACTAGTTTACAGTGTGTTACCTGAGGAGGGCCTACCATTAAAGAAGCCATAAAAGGGAGGGAGAGATGAGAAGTTCCTGGAAGGGTGGAATGGGAGGACCAAAAGCTATCACCTGAAGACAGAGATGACTTGTTCTTTCCTTACATGCACTCAGGAGACAAGGTGTGGCGCTATAATAATTTCAAGATGTCTCCTGGCTTTCCCAAGAAGCTGAATAGGGTAGACCCCCACCTGGATGCAGCTCTCTATTGGCCTTTCAATAAAAAGGTGTTCCTCTTTAAGGTAAACAGTTCAAAGCAAGGGCAAACAGCTTCTTAGGAGGGGTGGGCTACCTCACACTGAGAAGCCAACTTGCTGTTGAGGGGAGATCATCTGCAGCTGCGGTGGGTTGGGGTTAGACCTCTGGGGATCCTTAAGCTCTCTCCTCATCCTCTTCTCTTCCCTACCCACCCCACACCTAGGGCTCCGGGTACTGGCAGTGGGACGAGCTGGCCCGAACTGACTTCAGCCACTACCCTAAACCAATCAAGGGATTGTTTACAGGAGTGCCAGACCAGCCCTCTGCTGCTATGGGTTGGCGGGATGGCCATGTCTACTTCTTCAAGGGTAAACAGTACTGGCGCCTCAACCAGCAGCTTCGAGTAGAGAAAGGCTATCCCAGAGATACTGCCCACAATTGGATGCACTGTCGTCCCCAGACCTCAGACAATACTCCATTGGGTGGGAACACCACTCCTTCAGGGACTGACAACTCAGCCATAGGAACAAACTTGGATACCACTTCCTCAGCCATAGATACCACCTTGAACACAGCCCCCTCACCCAGAGACCCAATCTTGGACATTACCCCCTCAGCCACAGTCTCCACCACCCTTTCATTCCCTGGTAATGTCACCCTCACAGATGACAAGATGTGAAGCAAATGTCTGCTCACTAGGCAGGAGGGCTGCACCAGGGGCATGCCATAGACCCCAGGCCTCTAACTCCTAGCCACCACTCCTCTGTGCTCTTTCCCTCCTGGGCAGGACTCCCTAACTCTGGGTCAGCCTCTAGACATTTTTCTTCCATTCTAGATAGCACTTCGAGCTGTGTTATCTATTCTCTGGAAGACAGTGGTAGAAGGAAGGCACCACTCAGGCCCCTGGCTTACAGGCAGCAAAGCTGGGAAGCTAAATGCCTGGGTCCTGTTCTTCCTAGATAAAGTGCAAGGAAACAGCATGGCCAGTAAAATGAGCAAGGGCTTTGGAACACTTGAGAATCACATTTACTTGCTGATGACTTTGGACAAGTTAATTAACCTCATGGAGCCTCAGATTCCCCATCTGCAAAATAAGGTGGATACCAATCCTGCAGGTTATTGCATTAAATGAAATACTATTTGTGAAGTATATGGCACAGTGTCTGGCACATTTGTGCTTAATAAAGGCTAACTCCATGTTCATTAGAGAGGACTGAACAGTTCTTCCTCTGGCTGTGTGTGTGTGTAGCTGTGTGTACCGTAGTCCAATCTGATAAGATCATATCAGACCTTTAGGGGACAGAGGACTTGTCAGTCTGGCTAACTGGGGATGCAAAAAAAGAAAAAAGAAAAAAGAAAAAAACAGCAACAGCAGAGGCTGGACTCCCTGGTTCAGTGTTCAATGCCATTTTATTCACGTGCTCCCATATTCTTCTTCCCTCCCATCCTAGCTTTGTTGCCCAGGGGAGGAATATATCTTCCTTCATGCTGTCTGGGGAACCAGGGAACAGACTTTGAGCGGGAGAATCAGAGGAGGGACAGTTAGAATGGGTTAGTGGGTGGGACAAAGTTCTAGTTAAGGAGATTAGCATCACCTACAATGAGAAGCAGAGAAGGCACTTGTCTCCTGTGCAGCCTTGAAGACCAGGCTACTTTGGGCAAAAGGGCAAGACTCTGGCATGTGGGCCAATGCTTTCTCCTTGGGGCAAACAGCCAGCTTTTGGGGGAGGCAGGTGCTGTTCCATACATTGCCCCATCGTCTTCCCTACATTAAGGAGGGAAAAGGAAGCACCATGGAGGACAGTACTCCCAACTGAGGTAGGAGAAGGAGGCTTGAGCCTATGGGACTCGGGAGTAAAGGCTAACCAGGAAGCCAACTACCTTTTAATGAGAGAGGCCTAGGGATTAGGTGATCCTAGAGTTCCTCTGTGTCCTTCTCCCCATCAAAAAGCTATCAAGTGCTTTAGTGGGCTTCCTGATTTTCAATAGGTCCTAAAACAACAAAACTCCTTATTTTACCATTGTGAGGCACACCAAGGCAAGTATATAAAAGGCTATTTGGGTAAGGGCTCTCCTTGGTTTAAAGGGAATTAGAAAGTCAGTTACTTTAGGGACCAGGGCACCTCTATTTTTGGAAGAGGTAGGTTCTCCTACTTCCATTCTTCTCCCCTCCCCACAAGATTCTCCTTTACCTGTCCCTGAAACATATCCCTACAGGGTTGGTCTGGGTTGGAGTACAGATTCTATCCCCAATCTGAGAGGTGAGGAAGTTTGTGTGTGTGTCCTGTGGGCTCAGGCCTTGCACATTTGGGTGTTCCCAGGCTCTTGCTGGGGTGGAAGCCTCAGTGGAGGTTTAGGCTCAGGTATGGGTGGAACCAGAAGGTGTGGTGAGGGGTACAGTGGAACCACAGTCAGAATCCAAGTCCAGGACGGTGTGGGGGGCTGTGGCCCGGGTGCCTGGTCCCAGTTGGCGCTCTCGAAGGCTCTGGAGATAACTCTGGAGAGGCACAGGGCAGAGAAGGCAGAAGGAAGGGCCTAGGTCAGAGCCCCCCCTCCCACCCTGACCATCCCTGAGTGCCCTTTGCCCCATCCCCAGGTGTGCCCCTCCCCTCACTCACAGGAGCCAGACTATCAGCAGGGCTCCGGCCGTTGTGGGGGAGCTGGCGCCGGTAACTGCCCTCACAGAGCCCCACCCCAGGGGATGTTCGGTGCCACTTGGCCTCTTGCTGGCGGATCCGAAGGAGTTGAAGATGCCTTCGCTGGTGGCTCAAGACCACTGCTTGGGAGGGGGCAATACAGACTCAGGCCTCTTTAGACCCTAAATCCCACCCCCAAACACACTCACCCTCTACAGAAACCCATTTGTTCTTCCTGTTTTGGGTCTCTCAAACCTCATCTTTCCCCTGGTTATTCTAAAAGAAACTCTTCTTTGGAATCCTCCTACACTTTCCTTCTGGACTTCCCTGAGATATTCCTTTCCTTCTGTAACGGTCCCCAGTAACTAACTCCTCCTTATTCCCTCTGACAATTTTTCCTCATTCTCACCCAGACCATTGGTTCCTCCAACTCTAACTTTCTTTCGATGCCCTGCCCCATTCACCTTAGACACTTCCCCCCGCTTCCCCCCATCAAGTCTGGGAACTGGGGATATGGGCACAGGTTAGCTGCTTCTGTACCATGGCACTAACTCACCATTGGCGTGGCCTCCATGTTCCTCATCCATGAGCTTCCACTGGGCCAGGGCCCCAAGGGCCCCCAGGGCTGGCCAGGTGCCCAGCAAGACCCAGCTATACCAGCAGAGAGGAGGCAAGGCTGGAAGTGCCTGCAAGCGTTGGCCCAGCCGACTGCCCAGTGCCAGCCCCTCTAGGAAGTAGTCAGCACAGGCCACCAGCACCGCAGCACCCAGCAGGGCCGTGCCCAGAACTGTGAATGGACGTGGCCACCGAAGCGTGAGCAGGGCTCCCAGCAGTGCCAGCCCCACCAGCCCCCCAGCTGGCACCCAGGCTGAAGGTGGTTGGTAGATGGGCTCTGTGCCCAGCAGGGCCCCGGCACCCAGGGTTAGGCCTAGCAGGAGACCAGTCAGGAAGAGCCCAACGCTGCGAACCAACATGGTGACCAGGCCACAGAGGAGTCCGATGCCCAGCGCAATGCCCGCGCTCACCTCCAGGCTCAGCTGTGTCTCTAGCACTCGTTCCTTGTGGCACAGCAGGAAGATCACCAGAGCTCCTGACAGCAGGCCCGAGAGAAACATTACTGCCTTAAAGCAGCGGTAGCCTGGGAAGGGAGGCAGGAGGCACTGAGAGACAGAAAGGGGGCATCTACACGGATGGCTCTGATGAATTACAAGGGAGAGGAGTGGCTAACGAGGAGCAGAAGACAGGAGCAGCAACCCAGGGACCACAAGGCAAGGGGTAAAAAGGGATCATCTCAGGGAGGGCAGGGACCTTTCAAAACCTGTGAGGGGTGGGAGGAAAAATTAGGAGGAAAGATGGATATGTTGAGGGAAATAGCTATAGAAAAAAGGTTTAGTCCTTCCAGGGATGGCAGAAGGAATCAGCACAGGCTGATTCAGGTTATTGGGGAAGGGTTGAAGAATCATGGAGGATAATGTGGGAATGGAGTTTTGAGGTAGGAGGGAACGGTGAAGCAAGTGATAGTTGCCAGGGGTCAGAGTCAGGGGGCATGGATGTGTGTGTGTGGGGGGGGGTGGACAAGAAGAGCTGGCAAGAGCAGCAGGGGCTACACTGAAGGTAGGCATCCCCTAATAGAGGAGTAGAGGTGGCCTAGGAGCAAAGAAGAAAGTTCCCATCATCCTTGAGAGTGAGAGTCTTGGGCAGCTGCCCCCCAGAATCCTGGCCCTGCCCTCACCGAAGCAGCAGTAGATGATTCCAAAGCAGCAGCAAAGAGCACACACCAGGGCGGGTGCCAGTTCAGGATTGTCCTGGGGTTCCAAGACACATCTTGGGTCTGGAGGCTCTGGGAGTTGTTGATTAAAGGGCCTGGGGTCAGAGGTCATGGCCAGGGGCAGCAAGGCTTCCTCCATGGCCGAAGAAAAGGTGATCACAGAGGGGAAGGTCAGTGTCAGCTCCTCTCATCCATCCATGAATGTCTTGAGGGGGTTGGGAAACCTGCAAGGGGGTAGGGGGCAGGAACTTAGGTGCCCATGAATCTTGAGGATTCTGTACCCCTATTTCTTACGAAGAAAGGCCGATTTCAGGAGGGAGCATGGACTTGCTGGGGTAACTGAACAAATCTACAGGAGTGGGTCAAGGGGAGCTGACTGTCTCTTTACTAACCTCTGAAACAAGGACACTAAGTGAAACTTAAACTAAAATCTCAAAAGGTAATGAGACTTTGTTCCCTAGCTTTCCAGGGTGGGAAGAGTCAGAAGTCCTAAGTGGGTGGAAGGAGGGGCCCAGGGGCATTAGTGGGACTGGTAACTGAAGGTTCAGCCGCCTGTTCGAGCTAAAAACAAAGTTTGCCCAATCTGCAGCTGGAACTCAATACGACCCTACCGGACTGGGAAAGGTGGGGTTAATCCTGGGGGGGAGGAGGAGAAACAGGAGAGAATGAGTCATAGTGGGGTCTCTGGACAGCTGCTCCAACCCCAGGGAAGGAAGACGTAAAAAGAAGCATATCAAAAAAGTTTGGGACAAGGAACCAGAGACAGTTCCCGCACTTTGTCAAGGTTCTGAAGCCTCCGCTTCATAGGTAGATGGAGTTAAGTTGGGGGAAGGGGTATCCGGCCACAGTCCAATTCCCATGGTCCCTCTTGGACTAAGCAGGCACCTTGCCCGCAGACATCTCACATCCTGGTAGCCTCTTGCTCCTCCCCTCAGGACACTGATGGGACTTTTCCTCCCCCCCCCCCTTTCCC